CATATTAAAGTCTATACAGCAGAAATTAAAAGTTAATAAATACAAATTTATAGTAAATATTTTAAGAAGAAGGACACTAGTAGTTAAAGGAATCAAGAAAGATTTCATGCAGAATATAATGCTTACACAGCAACTAAAAGGAAAAGGGGGACTTTATGAGGCAAAGAAAGGATCCTATACAGTCTAGGTAAATGGGATGACTAATGCAAAAACAGAGAAAGGAGACGGATTTACAGAGTACAGGAAGGGAGTAATGATCTAATGAGACTTGAATGATAGGTTGGGGCTGGGTTGTGGTATGCCTTCTATAAAACAGAAGCCTTAGCTTCTGTTTAAAAGCTAAACAGAAGATTTTGTACTTCATCCTAGAGGCAATAAGAAGTCACTGAAGTTGAATGAATAGGAGAGTTACATGGTCAGATCTGCATTTAAAGAAAATTACTTTAGCAGCAGTGTACAGGATGAACTGGAGTGGGAAGAAACTTGCGGCACAGAGCCAAATTAGGAACTGGGCAAGAGATAAACAAAGCCTTAACTAAAGTGGCAGTTGTGGAATTAGAGAGAAGGGGTAAGATTTAAGAGATGTTGTAAAGAAAAAAACAGAAAGATTTAGCAATTGACTTGATATGTAGGGTGAGGGAGAGACCAGGATAATGCCAGCATTACAAACAATGAGCCCACAAAAGAGACCAAGAAGGAACGATTAGGAAGGTAGGAAGAGAACGATGTCACAAAAACTTAGAGAGAAGAGAATGTACAATTCGGTGTGTTTAGTAATGTCAAATGCAGGAGATGGAGAGAAAAAGGTGGTCTGAGAAAACTTTATCAGATTTGGCAAATAAGAGATTATTAGTAACCTTGGAGAGAGCAGTTTTAGTTGAGTGATGAGATTAGGAGCCAGAAAGCTAAGTGTTGAAGAGTGGGAGCAAAACAAGTTGAGACAGTGAGTACAGATTTGAGAAGAGATACAGGATCATATCTTGAGGGGATTGTGAGGTCTAATGAAGCTTTTGTTTTATTTTTAAAGATGGGGAAGACTTGGGCACGTCTGAAGGCAATGGGAAGGAACTAGTAGACAGAGAAAGGATGAAGATTCAAGAGAAAGGAGGGATGAGGATGCAGTCCACCAGAAAAAATGGTAAGAAATGGAATCAATCCACATATAGAAGGAGTGGCCTTGGCAAGGAAAAAGACCATCTCTTTTCAGAGACTGGGAGATGAATAGAGTTGAAGATATCCAGGGTTTTGAGATGAAGAGAATGGGCTAAGATAAAGTCCATATCAAATGGCCTCAATTTTTTCAGAAAGAGATAAGACCCTAAAAAGAGACGAAGCAGAGCTTGAGTAGGAAAGATGACATTTGAAATAGCTTCTATGGGAACTGAGACAAGGAATCAAGTATGATGGATCCAAAGGAATGATACAATGAGAGTCCAGCTGAGATCGCAATATGTGAATTTCTAAAATAGTCAATAGGCAAAGTTAAGAGACCCTCAGCTGCATTCAGTGGCTAAGGAGTGGAGGAATACTTCAGAATTAAGAGTTGATAAGAGAAGAGCAGAAAGAGAACAAAGGAGCAAAGGATTTAAAATCTTCTATCTGAATTAGAAAAAGGAAAAGGAAATATATGCCTAAGATTTACATATCAAAGAGTTTTGTTTAAAGTATATTCTTTCAGGCTGCCAGGCAGCACAGTTCATTGAATGCTGGGCCTGGAGTCAGGAGACCTGAGTTCACATCCAGCTTGAGACCAGTCTCACACTAGCTATGTGACCCTGGGCAAGTCATTTAACTTCAGCCTACCTCATTTTCCTCAATTATAAAATAGGGATAGTAATAGCACTTACCTCCCAGGGTTGTTGTGAAGATCAAATATTATATTTTTAAAGTGCTTAGCACAGTGTCTGGTACATAGCAGAAGCTTAATAAATGCTTGTTTCCTTCTTTTCTTCCTTTATGTAGATGACAGTAGAAGAGTGTGTCCAAACCAGAGCAATGGTATATCAGCTCCAAAGATACCTTCCCAGTTTTCTCTTTTGCATAAGAAAAGTCCCTCCTCTCACATGTATTACAGATGCGCCCTCCTTTTGCAAATTTGGAACAGGTGCCGAAGGGAATATGACAGAAGGTCAATTAGGGAAGAATAAAAAAGATTACTGTATAGCAGTGAAGACCTAGTTAAAATTATTTAATATAAATCTGTAACCAGTGAGCATGATTGCATGATATCTTACAGCAACATAGAAAAGACAGGATGGAATACTGAAAAAAGATTTGACTCTATACTTAGAGGAAACTCCTCATAATTACTAGATCTATTTGATTTTTAGAAAGTCACTTAATTTCCTTGGGCCTCTTAATCTCAGGCCAAGTTCTGAGTTTCTTTATCTGTAAAATAAGGACGTTGGAATATGATGCCATGTATAGTTCTAAATTTATAATCCCATGAGTGTAAGAAGAATTAGATAGTGGAAATAATGAAATATTGAGAGCTAAAAAGGCATGAGTAGCAGAAAGACAAGAAAGTCAGGGAAAAGTGGATAATAACTGAACTGATTAACTACAGGGCAAAAGATTATAAAGGGAGGAACCTACAGGGGCGATAAACTAAGCACAGAGGAAAAGACAGGAAGTACCTCATGATTGTAGCAAGGGGAAAGAATACGTTTAGGAAGTATGGGAAAGAGAGAAAGATGGAAAGACAGGATATTATAATCAGAAAGATCATGGAGAACATGGGAAGTGCTGTAGGACTAGAGAAAGGCAAATGATCTAATTTTGTTTTTATTGGAAATAAACCGTTTTTTTCCAAAGGGCAGAACCAGGCCAAATGGGTAGAAATTACAAACATGGAAATTTGGGTATGATTTCAGGAAAAATTTCCTAATAAATGGGCTGTCCAAAAGTGGTACAGACTACCTTAGTGGGTAGTCTATAGTGACAGGGAACCTACCATTAAATGTCTTCAAGCAGAGGATGAATAACAACTTGTAAGGTATGCTAAAGCTAGGGGATTCCTTTCAGGTATGGGTTGGAATGGATGGCCATTTAAGTCCCTTCTAATTCTGAAATACTGTGAATATATGAGTATAGTCTACAAAGTACAGGCCAGTAAGCTTGATCTGGATTCCTGGCAAAATTCTATAACCTATTATTAAACAGGAACTTAGTAACCATTCAGAAAGGGAAGCAAGCAACAATCCCCAAAGGCCAGCATGACTTCACCAAGAACAAGTCACATCACACTAATTTAATGTCTTTTTATAGTTACATAGATTTGGAACTGGCAAAATGGCTAGACTATAAGAATAGACATTAATCATTATATATTAATTAGGAAAAAAGTGTTTAGTAGAGCACTCCAAGGATCTCTTCTACTTAATATTTTTATCAATGACTTGCATAAAGATATAAGTGGAAAGCTTATCAAATCTTCAGATGACACAAAACTAGGAGGAATAGCTAACACAATGAATGACAGGGAGGATCCAAAAAAATCTTGAGTGTCTCTTAGAATACTGTGAGAAATTTAGTAAGATGAAATTAATTAGGAAGGAAAGTCTTATACTCAAGTTCAAAAATCAACTTTCAAATATAAAATGGAGACTATGACTAGACAGGAGTACATCTAAAAAAAGATCTTGGCATTTAATAGATAGGTAACTTAATATAAATTAAACACATGATCTAAGACTGAAGAAAAGTATAATACCCAGAACTAAGGAAACTGATAGATTCAATATAGTGATCATTGTTTAGATGTCATATGGAGATAACATATTCAATTGTAAGTACCACATTTTAGGAAAGACACAAATAAGCGTGCAAATATCCCGAGGACAATCAGGATAGTAAAAGGCCTTGAGAGCATGCCCTTTGATAAATCAGTTAAACAAACTGGAGATATTTAATCTAGAGAAGTAGCTTCAAGCGGTCTCCCTACTGGTGGTATATGTAGGGTGCTTCAAAGGAAGATGCACTGCTATGGCATAATGTAAATGTGAGCTATTATTCAATCCTTCACCATTGTTCTATGAATTATTATTGCTCTTACCCATTCTACTTAGGCACATATACCAGCTCCTAAAACGTCTTCCTTCCATTCCTAGCTATTCTATACATCATCTCTTCTTGCTCCCTTCCCACTCCTCTACTCCCTCCCTCTTTCTTCTCTATCTTAACCCCACCCAGTGGTCTTATTTTCTCCTTCCCTCTAACTTAATCACCAAAAGTTCCCCAGCTTTTCCCTTCCCCTCTGGCTCCTTATCTCAAGTTTCTTTCCCTTTCTCTTTAAACTACTAGACCCAAGCTTAGTTGTTGGCTTTGGCTTGGAGTCAGATGTAACAAATAAGAAGAGATAGCACTAGTCTCTCCTTATTCCTATTTTACATAGGTCCTGTCCTCTTCCCCCATTGTTATGCCATACATATATTCATCAATCATTTCAGGAATTATAATTGTTTTGCACAATCCAGCTCTAGGGCCTACCACATTGTCAGGAAGTACTCTGGCACTAAATATTGAGTATAGTCAGCTCAGGCTTGATTGATAGGCTGCAGGAGGATACAGGCCAAAAAAGGAAGAAGCACAGTCATCAGATGATGCTTCTCACTAATATCCCTCTTGCCAGAATTTGTTCCTACTGTTCCCTTGCCAACAAGGAATTCAAGAGATAAGGGGAAGAGAAGGATTTGAACACAGTACGAGCACCAGTGGGAAGATGATAAAATGGGTGCCATGTTGGGGACAGTTACGATGCTAAAAAGAGGAAAGAGAAACGCAGAAACAACCAGCACACATCCTAGGAATTGAGATACATAGATTACAACTATGACTTGCATGGAGAAGGGAAAAGGTATCACAGAAGGGAAAAGGGGTCACACGTTAGGAAAAGTGGATAGCTGTTGGACAGGGCCTAAGAACTGCTAGTTGTAACTTTGTTCATCAGACCTTCCTACTTCAAAAATGTGAAATAAAAATTAAAATTCAATCAACTTCACCTTTCCTGCTGAAGAGATTACGAAAGGTACCACAAAGGTAGGAACTTCCACCACTGTGCATGTCAACATGGAGCTGATAACCATGTAGTCCATATTGTTGGTCAATGTCATCCAGAAAAGGAATGTGAGGCGGCAGCATATAAGGGCTTTAAAAAAAAAAATACACACGAACATGTAACTCAACAAACAATACCAAAGGTCAAACACAAAGGTCACTTTGGGCCCTTAAGATTTAGGATTCTATAATTTTATTTTTTAAAAACATACATACCCCATCACTGTCACCACTAATATAAAAAGACAACAAGATTCCCAATAATTCTCAATGTTATATAACTACATGAGGTTTAAACTGACAGAGCCTTTGTTAACTCCTACAAAATGTTCATTTCTCCAAACCAATGCAGGATATCAGTTCTGTGGCCAACTAGAAGACATAAAATATGCATGAGTAAACCCCACCCAGGGTGAATACGTTTGGTCCATGGTGTTTAGAAATATACTCCCAGGACTCTTGACAATCTAAAGGCAACTCTATCCCTTTCTTAGCATTCTGATCAACAATAAAAGAATACCTTCAGGCAGAAAAATGTGCCAAAGGTAACACTATTTCTTAAAACTAGGTAAAAAGATTGCAACTCAGAAAGATTAAGTCCTATTCAATAAAGGGGATAAATCACAAATCTTTCTGAGAAAGAAAGCAAGAATTCTCTCAGTAAGGGGGACTGAGAAAAGCAACAACTTCTTGCTATAATGGAAGTTGTTTCCCCTTAATCATCCATAATCATGACACATTTTTTAGCCCCAAACAAATAAAGAAAATGTGCTCATGAATAATACAGAAACTTCAGCAGCAACATGCCACTGGTCTATGCCAATTGTTTGAAGATCTTTGTAATGATCCTTAGCATAAGTTGATTTGAAATTCTGATTCTCTTTCACATTTACTCTACAAAACGTGAAAAAATAAGAATTCAGTACGTACACAGTGGCTGAGCCTAAAGTGCTTCTCTCCACCAGTAGATGAAAATGAAGATTCGCCATAACAAAAGCCATTTCCTTCTCTTTCTGGAAAGTTAATTACAAAGAATACATTTTTCACCCAGACTACTTTAACTTTTTATGAGGTCTTCTTAAAGAAAATGGCACATAAATCTTGCCAGTAAATGCTGCTACAAGATTGGTACAATGCTAGTGTATTATTACTGCTAATATAGAATTACTATTTAATAAGACTTATACATTATACTAACAGACAGGACAGCCACAATTCACACAAACACTGTATTATAAGTGATACCCATAAAGACTTAACCTACAGCATCCTGGAACTTATGGAAGGAACAAGATAATAGAGATATAGATAGACAGATGAACAGACAGACAGATACATACATATATGAGATAACATTGAAAATATTTATGACCTTTTCCAAAAAAAAGTTTAGTATTCTTTACAAATAGAAAAGAAAGCTAAAAATAATCCAACTTGAACATGAACAGTTAATTTCACCAGTAATCATCATTGTTAACAGTGTAATGAGATATTTAAAAAGTTTAACTCTTTCTTAGCATTCTCATCTACTCTCATGGTTTCAATTACCTCCATGCAGATGATTCCCAAGACTATGTAACCAACCCTAATCTCTTCCCTAAGTTCCACTACTGTATTTCCAACTGCATGATGTATACTTCTGCTTGAATAGCAAACCAGAGCTTCAAACACAATCTGTGTTTTCCCCTCCAAAAAAACTTTCTCCTCCCAATTTCCTGCTTCTGTTAATGACAGTACTAATATCCAAGCCACTCAGGCTCAAAAACCTTGAAGATATCTTTACTCCTCCCCCCCTTTCCCCAATATATAATCAGTGGCCAATTACTGACAATTCTACTTCCATAATATCTCTTGGATTCATCCACCCCTATCCACTCACACTGCAACTATCCTAAATTCAGAGCCTCATTACATTATGCTTTAGAATAGTGTTAAAAGCCTAGTCTTCCTGCTTCTGGTCCCTTATGCTTTCCAATATATCCTAAACGTTGCTGCCAAAATAATCTACCACTGTTCAGAAATGAAATTCAAGGTTTTCTGCAGTCTAGGTCCAATCTACATTTGCAGCTTTACCTTCACACTATTCTTCCTTTTGCCCTCTGAATATCCCAATCTCTTCCAGTCTTTTCCCCACCTCTGAATACTTGCACAAACCCCATGACCTGTAGGTACTCCAGCCATCTCTCAATCTATTGAAATCCTTCTCTTCCTTCAAAGTTCAATTCTGCTGACATTCCTTCAATTAAGCCTTTCCCAATTCTTCCAGCTCAAAGTGATTTCTCCTTCCTCAAATTTCTCATAGCATTTATATGGAACTGCTCTTTGCTCTTATCACATTCCATTTTGTAATATACTTATTTCTGTACATGTTTCGTCCCTACCTTCCTTCCCCAGCATTAGTCTGCAAATCCCTTGAAGACCAGGACTATGCTGTATCCCCAGGACCTAGCACAGTACCTTATATATGGTAACCACTTAATAAATGTCTGGAGAATTTAACTAAATGTCCTATAAGTCATCTCCACAGAATAACCTGAAGGAGACTAAACAAAAACAAAAAAAAAAGGCAGGGTACAAAAGGGAAGGAGTAACAAAAACCACAGTAGACATGATTCTCTACTCCCCCCACCCCCATCATCCCTTTTATACACTATTCCCAGAATGAAAATGGTCGCATAGAATCCTAAACTCATGTGGGATAAAGCCTTATCAACCAATTATTCAGACCTGCAAAGATTTGACCTAGGTATGAAAATGTAAGACTATACTTCTTTTACCCAGAGAATCTAACTCCATAAAGAGAGCTAGCAATCAACTAACTCCACTGAAAAACAAGAAACTGACCTAATGGGGGAAGGGCAAATGGTTAAATTCCCTTCTAAAATGGTAAATTATGTTCAATGTCCTACCTGGGCAATCAGCAACATTCACTGAGAGCTAACTATATGAAAAGAACCACAATAGGCTCTATGGGTGAGTATGCAGATGAAGAGTATAAAAGAAGCCAAAGACATGGTCCTGAGCCTCATAAAACTTGAAATCTAGATGGAACACACATAGATAAAACAACAGAAGAGCACATGAACTAAGCAACATATCAACAGGTGCAATATAGAGTAACAGAGTGAATAGGTGCTGAGGAAGTAACTAACTGGAGAAGTTAATAGGTAAGAAGTGATAATCATGCAAGTTTCCTAATAGAAGTGAGTTCTCATCAAGTTTTTAAGGAAAGGTTGGAGTGTGTGGGGGAAGGAGTGCATCTGAGGCAATGATAAGGATATACTAAAGCAAGTCACAGAGTGGTGTAGGAGAAATGGCAGAACATTAGTCTGGATGGAGTAGAAATCTACACAGAGTAGTCTGTATATAAAATAAGTTGGTAAGATAACGAACAAAAGGAGTACAGATGGTAGCAAACCTTAAATGCCAAGGTAAATAGTTTGGATTTGATATGAGTGAAATCCTAATCAGGATTAGGGGAGTCAGAGAAGTGACATGATAACAACAGTCTTTCACTAATATTATCTTAGTAGTTGTATGCAAAATGGATTAGAAAGGGAATGATGAGAGGCAGAGAAACCAACCAGGGAGCCAGCATATTTATCCATCAATGAAAGGGGATGGATAGTAATGACTTTTGATGGAAAGTGATGACTGCAGAACTGAAAAGGAAGAAAATCCAAAAGACATTGTAAAGAAGGAATCAGCAGGGCTTAGTGATACGAGTGTAAGGGACAAAAGAAAGCAAAGAGACAAAAATGTTTTGATTTTAAGGAGTCAAGGGAAATAGTGGTGTTATATCTGTTAAAAAAGAAGATAAAACATTCTCAACATGTTAAATTCAGGTGTCAGTGTTTTTTGATGTCTGATGACAGCTAGAAACATAAGACTGAAGAAATCAGAGGTCCACAGCTAGAAACGTGGACTTGTTAATCATTCACATGTGGTTAACAGTTAAATAAAACCTTGAGAATACAGGAAAATTCATTACAGCAGTGAATACAGGTTGTGATAATATAAGCCTCATAAAGCCTAATATTGACCTGTTATAAGCAGCAAATGCATACCAATGTTTTCACACAGAGGTAAACAGAACTCCACTACACAAAAAGGACTTCATTCTTACCTTCCATAGACCAACTAGAAGCCCTGGGTTTAGGCAGAACGTCCGAATAAGTCTGTCAGAGCCAATCGAAGTGGATTTAGTTAGGTTAGTCAGATTGTACTCGGCAACTAAGGAACGCCTTCGAGGTCTTTGAACATCAAATGCCAAACCAAGGAAAGACAGAAGTGAGTTTTAGTATTATCAGAATTGTTAATTATCACATCTAAGAATGCCAATTAAGAAGATATTAAAAATCTACTTTTACAATTGGTGACATTGAGGAGAAAAAAAAAAGTTAGCTTTTGTAGAGAAATAGGAAAATAGCCCATCAATTTCATTCACTTCTCATTCAAATTGCATTCCCATTACTCTCTCTGCAATTCAATGGCCTAGTCAAAAGATAACAAGGGAGACAAAATTATCTTCTCTCGTTCCTTTAATACCTACTACACAGTGCTTTAGTCACAAAGAACACTACATAAATGATGCTGACCAAGTGGAGAAAAAAATAATAAATCTAAGCTGATTTAAAAGTCATGTGTAGAAACTGAAATATAACTCACATTCATAGAACACTTTAAGATTAACAAAAGGTTCTTCTTGAATACCCCTAGTCCAAGCATTATCCTCATTTTACAGATGAGGAAACTGAGATTCAGGAATGTTAACTGACTTGCCCAGGATAACACCTCTTAAGGTGAGAGCCAGAATTTCAAACCATATTTATCTTGTCCATCATTTGTTGCACTATATCATTTTGTTCTTCAATAAAACAAACAACTGGCTATCTGAAAAAATCAGACTACTGTTAGACTGAAAAAGCCTTCTAAATTGATTACTAGGGCAGAATTTATAAATGTTGACTTGGTAACACACAAATTATAAAACAAAATCTGTTTTTAATATTTTCATACAAGCAAACATTGTAGAAATTTTCTTTTGAATGACTGGCAATAAATTACAAATAACATATAAGTAGAAATTTTGACAAAGTGAATCAAATAACATTAGCCAGATTTTAAAATCAACCTTAACATTAAAATATATTGCAAACAGTATAATAATCACCTAGGACTCTCCTCATCCTTAGCAACCAACAGAACCTTTTCAAAAATATTTTTTCTAAATGTTGGTTTGGACATTAGTTTAGGAGTCAATTCTAAAGGCTTTATTAACATGCTATATAGCATGTATATAGAATCTCTACAGGAAAAGGGTGACTGAAAATTTTCCACTAAAGCATCAAGACATTTTAGTACATTGTGGAATACAGTAGAAAGATCACTGGACTTAGAATTATGTGACCTGGATTGGTATACTGGCTCTGACATTTAATAACTTTATGACTACAGGCAAGGAGTTTAGACTCTCAGAGCCTCGGTTTGTTCATCCATACAATTAAGACTTCATACTACTACCTACCTCACAGAATTGTCATGAAGAAAATATTATGTAAACATTAAAATGCTTCACCAACGTGAGATACAATTATATCTACATGAACTTGGTCAAGTAACTAAGTTTGTTTCTTCATATGTAAAATGATAAGACTATATGGCCTCTTACTGTCCCTTTCTAGACCTAAACCTATAATCCCACTATTAATCACATTAAAAACATATCCTTTTAATGTGCTTTCCCAAATTTGGTGCTACATAGCTCCCTCCCTATTTCATAAAACTCTCCCCACAAATTATCATTATCAATTATTACTATTATTATTAATAGCTCAGATTTATAATTTTTTATCTTTTAGCAGAACTGGTCTGCTCCCATTTCCATGCCTGGAATGTCATCCATACTTGCTCAATTCTTACCCCTCCTTTAAAGTTTAATTCAAAAGCTGCGTCCTCTAGGAAGCCTTACTTTATCCTTCCTCCCCAGAGTAAAACATATTTCATTCTGTACTTATGTATTAGTCATATTTCTCTAGCAAATAATAAGTCCTATAAGGATAAGGATCTTGATTCATACAAAATTTTCTCACTCAAATCCTAGGACAGAACACAGCAGGTGCATAATAAATATTAATTTCATTTTATTGTGTTCCATTGTCCTAGACCAGGGTTGGGGAACCTGCAGCCTTGAGGCCACACGTTGCCTTCTAGGTACTTGGGTGCAGCCTTTTGACTGAGTCCAAGTTTTCCAGAACAAATATTTTTATTAAGGGGATTTGTTCCATGAAGTTAGAATTCAGTCAAAGGGCCATACTTGAGAACTTAGAGGGCCACACATGGCCTCAAGGCCACAGGTTCCATCCACCCCTGTGACCTAGACTACCTGATTCCTTCTTAATTTTTCTGACAGGCTAACCTAGACAGGACAAGGAATCAATTAATCTAATGTTGCCCATACATACATGAAACAGACATTTCTATACCTGTTAATTTATCAAGAGCATACATGGTGTGATTATGGGGAGGCAATGAAGACAGTCCTTAGGGTGCAACATTCAGGGGGATTAAAAAAAAGTTTGTATAATCTCCATAACCCATGGGTATTTGTTTTATCGCAAAGTGCATTTGTTTCAGTGAAGGCTAAAGCCCTCAGGAAGAAACATAAAGGAGGGATCAATTTTTGAACCTTGCCTAGAGCTCTGATTAGGAACACATGAATACACATACACATGGTTAACCTGGTAGATGACTGGATGAATGTGGATAATAATTCCTAACCTGGTACAAAATTTACATGCCCTGGACTGGAAAAGATTGGGGAATTTAGAAGAATAAAGCTTTGCCTATCTAAAGAAAAACTATTTAATTAGCCCTATAGTCACAACCAACAATGGGCACATTTAACCAAGCATTTCTCCCATGAATGTGGGGCAATGTAAGTACTCAAGCTTCATACATTAGTGATTTAGGAAAATTCATGTGTCTGAGGAGAAATTCAAATCATGCCAAAAAGGAGTTTTGATTTACCTATCCTTAAGTGACTATAAGGTAAGAAAAAGGGGGAGGCCACAATGGTTTCTCCTTTCCTGTCATGCTAATCTATAACACTATTTCTACTCCTTCCTAATCAAAGCATTTACACACATACACACACACACACATATATGCAATAAAAACATCTACTGAAACAAATTCATGAAAAATGTTTTTACTGTATGTTTACCCACAATTTATCAAGTACTAGCTAAAGCCCATTGAGATTCAATGAGAATAAATTACAGTATCATAATGAGTTTCCCCAACAATTTCTAGCATTTGGCATTGTCTAATATCTATCATCACAGATATTATGACAATTTTGAGACATGCAATGGCATTCACCTAGCTTTCCATGTCAACGCAAAACAATATCTACTTAAGTTAGATTGTCATTCATTCATTTAATTAATGTCTGTACTTTTGATCTAAAGATCGTAAACAATATGCTACATGTTCTCAAGTGATATAGCATTTGCTGAATGTAAGAAAATGATCCAGAATGCACTCTCCAGAAATGGCTACATACACAATAAAACTACATGCTTTGTTAAAAGGGGTCATAAAAATTGCCCACTCAAACAAAAACACTACCAAAAATATTCAAGTCTTCATTAAAAAAAAAAAGTTTTCTTGTCTACTTCAGGAAGAGTGTGTGTGTGTGTGTGTGTGTGTGTGTGTGTGTGTATAAAATATATATATGTATATATGGACATATAGAGAAAAATAACAATTTATCCGAAAGTACCCAGCACCATAACAAACTCTCAAATCATTCAGAACAAAAACCGGTACCACTACTTATTAAGCATTTATTATATACCAAGTGCCATGGCTGGGCTGTGGAACAAAGCAAAATCAGAAGTCCCATTTAGGATTGTATTTATAAAAATTTAATCCCATGCGTTAGTGGTCACATTATAAAAGCCCACAAATAACAATATTTCCCCAACAAAATCATAATGGTATGATGTTCTCTGTTTTCCAAAGAAAGAATGCCATATAACTAAAAAAAATTATAATGATGCCAAAATTTGGAAGAGGAAAAATAAAATTTGAAGGTTGCTGAAAAGCCAAAGGATACTGATAGCGAATATGAAGACTTATTGAGGTTTAAAATAACTTACTATCATATAATCAAATTCAGAGTTGGAAGGGATTTTAGAAAACCGAAGACATCAATTAAATAATTAATTTTGGAAGAATACGTACAGTAAATCATTGGCCTTGGATTCAAGTAGAACTGTGTTTAAACCTCATGAGACACTTACTAGCTTTGTGACCCTGGGTAAGTGTTTTAACCTCTCAGCCTTAGTTTCTTCAGCTGTATAATGGAGATACCACCTATCACACAGGATTGTTATGAGCATCAACTGAGGTAATATATGTAAAGTGCTTCATAAAACCTTAAAGTACTATATAAATTTTATTTATCTTTATTATCATTGTTTTTAAAGAATCAGAATAATCAAGTAGATAGTGATGTGACCACAGAATCTACAAGATCCAGACCCAAATTCCACCTCTGACTTGACCCAAATCCCACCTTTGACTTTGGGTACATAGATGTGTAATACTGGACTACTCATCAATGCCCTAGGCAACTCTGAAACTACAAGTTGTAGAGAAGGTACAAATCTGCATTGGTAGAGGCAGTTTTCTCATCTATGGGTTCTCCACAGCCATGAGATCAAAGGTCCATCATTATTAGATAAATAATCATGTGGATAGAGAGATGAAGCAGCTACATACTTTATATTCCACTTTCATAAGAGCCAAAATAACAAAAAAACAAGTCAATAGAATTTATTCAACCTATCTTTTGCTTTGCTTGAATTATAGGGTCAGTGAAGTCAATGTACCACATGATCTACAATAAAATATAACAATTTCTAATCATTAAGTAATTATGATTACTTACATCATAATTTTAGTCATAATTATAATTATGAATCATTAAGTAAAAGTTAAGTTGTATTTGTTAAACTTTAAGGAAGGAAGAAAATAAGTACTTATCAAGCACCTACTATGTGCCAGGACCTATGTTAAATACTTTATAACTATTCTTATTTGGTCCTCAAAAATAACCCTGGGAAGTAGGTCCTATTATTATCCTCATTTCACAATTGAGGAAACTGAGGCAGCAGAGGTTAATTCATTTGCCCAGGGTCACACAGTTATTAAGTATATGAGACCAAATTTGAATTCCGGTCTTCCTGAATTCAGACCCAGCATTCTATCCACTGATCCACCTAGCATCTTCTTACAGTAGGATAGAATGTAGTAGAGATTTCCGTACAAAGCACAGAACAAAAAAGCTTAAAGATTAATCCTCAGTTGTCAAAAAAATTCCATTATCTAGAACATACCAGTCTAACATTATAGACAACTAATATACATAAATATAAAATAACACCTTTTATTTCTATTCTAGCAGTGATCAAGCAGTAAGTCAAGGGAGAGTGAGTTTTCACATGCAATCTTTAATTATACTTCAGGGTTAAAAAACTCAATGTCAACCAACTATCATTAACAAATTTTTCTAATCTAACAATAATAAATCTGGATGAAACTCACCCATTTTTGGTGGGGACCTTATAGCGGTCCAAAAAAACTGGTGTCACACCACATAAGTCTAGTGTTGCCAGCTTGTCTATACGTGGCCAATTATTCCCATGCCACACAACTGTAACAGATGTGTCATTCACAGAAAACTCAGCCTGCTCCATGATGTACTCTTTCCCATTTTTCTCCTTCAATACAATCACCCAACTCAATCCAGATACTCTATTTGGGGAAAAAATGGAGTTAGAGAGTTTGAATTTATCTTTGGAGAAGATATAAATGTTACACTGAGTAGTTCAAATAGATAACTTTAAAGGAGCTAATTTGATTCTATAAACGTGGGTCAGATTTAAAGATCTTGTGTCTTTTTTTTTCAATTTTTTTTCCTCAATTAACATGTAAAAAAATTTAACATTTGTTTTTTAAAATTCTGAGTTCCAAATTTTCTCCCTCCCACTCTCTCCATTCCCCTCAAAACAGCAAGCAATTTGATAAAGATTACACATGTGCAATCATGCAAACCATCTTCATATTAGCCATGTTGCAAAAAAAAAAAAAAGAAAAAAAAAAGGAAGTTAAAAAAGTATGCTTCATTCTGCATTTAGACTCCTATTAGTTCTTTCTCTGGAGGTAGATTGCATTTTTCAACAGGAGTCCTTCAGGATTATCCTGGGTCATTGTACTGCTAAGAACAGCTAAGTCATCACAGTTACTGTGTACAATGTTTTTCTGGTTCTGTTCACTTCACTATGTATCAGTTCACGTAAGTCTTCCCAGGTTTTTCTGAAACCAACCTGCTCCTTATTTCTTACAGCACAGCAGTTTTCCATCACAATCATACAACACAACTTGTTCAGCTATTCCCCAAATGGTGGGCATCCCCTCAATTTCCAATTCTTTACCACCACAAAAAGAATTTTTATAAATACTTTTGTACACATAGGTTCTTTTTCTTTGATCTCCTTGGGGTATGGCCTAGTAGTATTGCTCAGTCAAAGGGCATGAGGGTATGCACAGTTTTATAACCCTTTGGACATAGTTTTAAATTGTTCTCTAGAATGGCTGGATCAGTTCACAATTCTACTAACAGTATATTAGTGTCCTAATTTTTCAACATCCCCTGCAATATGTGTCATTTTCCTTTTTGTCATATTAGCCAATCTGATAACTGTCAGATGGTACCTCAAAATTCTTTTAATCTCTAATCAATAATGCCAGACTATTTCTTCATATGATTATACCTTTCATTTCTTCTTCTGAAAACTGCCTGTTCACTTATCAATTGGGGAATGACTTGAATTCTTGTAAATCAGTTCTCTATATATTTGAGAATTTAGGCCTTTCATCAGAGAAACTCCCTGCAAAACATCTGCCCAGTTACCTGCTTTCCTCCTAATCTCAGCCATTGTTTTTCTTTGTCCAAAAACTTTTAAATTTAATGTGATCAAAATTATTCATTTTACATCCCATAATGCTCTGTATCTTGTTTGGTCATAAATTCTTCCCTTTTCCATAGATCTGAAAAGTAAACTAGTCTATGCTCCTCTAATTTGCTTATATCACTCTTTGTGTTTAAATCATGCACCCATTTTGACCTTATCTTGGTACATGGTAAGAAATGTGGGTCTATACTTTTTCTTGTTGTTATTCAGTCATTTATAGTAACTTCTGACTCTTTGTGACCTCCATTTGGGATTTTCTTGGCAAGACACTAGAGTGGTTTGCCATTTCCTTCTCCAGATCATTTTACTGATGAAAACAGGGTTAAGTAACTTGTTCAGAGGCCAGATTTGAACTCAGGAAGATGGGTGTTCCTGGCTCCAGGCCCAATGCTCTATCCACTGTGCCATCTATCTGCCCTTGGTCTATACCCAGTTTCTGCCAAAATGCTTTCCAGTTTTCCCAGAAATTAAAAGCTTGGATCTTTGGGTTCTCTAAGTATATTATCATCTCATCTGCAAAGAATGATAGTTTTGTTTCCTCAATGCCTATTCTAATTCCTTCTATTTCTTTTCCTTCTATGAAGGAAATGCTACATACCTATGCTATAGGTAGCATTTCTAATACAATACTGAATAATAGTGTTAACAACAGACATCCTCACCCCTGATCTTACTGGGAAGGCTTCAAATTTATCCCCATTACAGATAACGTGTGCTGAAGATTTTAGATAGATATTTCTTATCTTTTAAGAAAAACTTCATTTATTCCCATATTTTCTACCTTTTTTAATAAGTGTCGTGATTTTTGTCCAAAGCTTTTTCTGCATCTATTGAGATGATTATATGTGATTTCTGTTGGTTTTGTTACTGATATGGTCAATTATGTTGATAGTTTTCCTAATACTGAACCAACCCTGCATTCCTGGTATAAATCCCACCTGGTCATAGTGTACGATCCTGGTGATATATTGCTGTAATCTCCTTGCTAGTATTTTATTTAAAATTTCTGCATCAATATTCATTAGGGAAATACATCTATGGAATTCTTTCTCTGTTTTTGCTCCTTCTGCTTTACGTATCAACATATGTGTGTCATAAAAGAAATCTGATACATCTCCATCTTTGCCTATTTTTCTAAACAGTTTGTATAGTATTGGAATTAATTGTACTTTAAATGTTTGGTAGAACTCACTTGTGAATCCATTTGGTCCTGAAGATTGTTTCTTAGGGAAGTCATTGATGGCTTATTCAATTTCTTTTTCTAAGACAGAATGATTTTAGTATTCTATTTCTTCTGTTAACCTAGACAATTTATATTTTTGTAAATATTCATCAATTTCAATTAGATTGTTAGATTTATTGGCATATAATTGGGAAAAATAGTTCCTAATAATTTAATTTCCTCTTCATTGGTGGTAAATTCACCTTTTTCATTTTTGATACTGGTAATTTGGTCTTTTTTTTAATCAAATTAACCAATGGATTATCTATTTTATCAGATTTTTTCATAAAACCAGCTTCTAATTTTATTTATTAGTTCAATGGTTTTCTTACTTTCTCTTTTTTAATATTTTTGTTACATTTGAGTGCCAAGCTATTTTCCTCCTTTTTTCCCTACCCGGCACTAGAGAAGGCCAACATTTGACAAAGATACATATATATACATATAAATGTACATATATGAAACTATACAACACAGAGTTTCAATTATCACAGGAGGTGGGTACCATCCTCCTGCATAGGTTCTTTGTAGTTGATTTGAATATCAACGTAACTCAGAATAGGTTGGTCATTCACATCTACTCTTTGAACACAATTGTTACTGTAGAGAACATTCTCTTGGTTCTGCACTTCACTCATCATTATTTCATGCAAGTCTTCCCACGTTTTCTTAAAAACAAACTGCTCACAATTTTTTATAGCACAATAGTATTCCATCACAGTCATATACCACAATTTATTTACCTATCCCCCAATTGAAGGGTATCTCCTCAATTTCTAGTTCTTTACCACCAAAAAGAAAGCTGCTATAAATATTTTAAAACACATAGGTTTGATTTTTTTTTCTTTTTCTTTTATCACCTTGGGTATTGCTGGGTCAAAGGGTATATACAGTTTTATAACTTTTTGGATATAATTCCAGATTGCTTCCAAAATGGTTAGACCAATTCACAGTTCCACCAACAGTGTATTAGTGTCCCAATTTTTCTACATCTTCTCCAACATTTGTCATTTTCCCCTTCTATCATTTTAGCCAATCTGATAGGTGTGAGATGCTACTTCAAAGTTGTTTTAATTTGTATTTCTCTAATCAATAATGATTTAGAGCATTTTTTCATATGACTGTATATAACTTCCTCCAAAAACTGCCTGTTCATATCCTTTGACCATTTATCAACTGGGCAATGACTCTATTCTAATAAATTTGACAAAATTCTCTATACATCAGAGACAGGAGGCCTTTATCCAAGAAACTACAAAAAATTTTTCCCAATTTTCTCCTTTCCTTCTAATCTTGGCTACATTGATTTTATTTGTACAAAGACTTTACAATTTAGTGTAATCAAAATTATCCATTTTGCAGCTCACAATGATACCTCATTTATCAGAAATTCTTCTATCCATAAATCTGACAGATATGTTCCACGTTCTTATAACTTACTTAGGATATCTCCCTGTATATCTAGGTCATATATCCATTTTGACCTTATCTTGATAAATGGTGTCATATACTGATCTATACCTAATTTCTGCCAGATTGTTGTCCAGTTTTCCCAACAATGTTTACCAAACAGTGAACTTTTATCCCAAAATCTTAAATCTTTACATTTATCAAACATAAAGTTACTATAATCATTTACTATTGTGTATTGTATAACTGCTCTATTCCACTGATCCATCATTCTATTTCTTAGCCAGTAACAGATAGTTTTGAGGATAATCACATTATATAGTTTAACATCTGGCACTGCTAGACCTCCTTAATTTTTTTTCAATAATTCCTTTGATATTCTTGACCTTTTGTTCTTCCAAATGAACTTCATTATTTTTTTAGCTCAATAAAATAATTTTTTGATTAATTTAATTTAGATGGCACTGAATAAGTAAATTAATTTAGGTAGATTGTCATATTTATTATATTGGCTCAGCCCACTTACGAACAATTAATATTTCTCCAATTATTTAAATCTGATTTTATTTGTATAAAAAGTGTTTTATAATTATATGCAGTTTTATATTGTCCATGGTTATTTTAAATAAACTATCTCTTCCAGCAAGGTTGTGTTGGTGATATGTAGAAATGCTGATGATTTATGTGGGATTATTTTATGTACTAATACTTTGCTAAAATTACTGTTTCGACTACTTTTTTAGATGAATCTCTAGGATTTTCCAAGTACTGTCTGCAAAGAAAGAGTTTTATTACCTCACTGCCCATTCTGATTCGTTCAATTTCCTTTTCTTCTCATTGGTATAGTTAGCATTTCTAATACAATACTATATAATACCATATAATATTGGAGATAATGGGCATCCTTGAGCTTACTGGAAAAGCTTCAAATTTATTTCCATTACAAATAATGCTTGCTAATGGTTTTAGGCAGATGCCTTTTATCATTTTAAGGAAAAATACATTTATACATATGCTTTCAAGTGTTTTTAATAGGGATGAGTGCTGTATTTTGTTAAAAAGTTTTTTCTGTATCTATGAATATAATCATACACCTTTTGTTTTTGATATGATCAATTACACTAATAGTTTTCCTTATATTGAGCCAG